ACGGACTATCAAAAATCTCTTCATGTATAGCTCTCCTTCTCGCTCGCCAAACGGCCCAAAGAGTCACAGCCATCCGAGTGAATTCCTCATGCGATAGCAAGTCGTGCATTGTGAAGACCCAGTTTTTTGCGTCAAAAGACAAGTTTTCAAGCATTATCTCCACTGTTTCCTCTGAGCACAGAGACCAAACGCTTCTAGCCATTGCACAATCTATCAATGCATGCTTCCAATCATCTTGAGCCGAACAAAAGGCGCACACACTAGTCGTCGCCATGTTCCGGTGATGCAACACCCCGACAGTTGGTATTGTTTCGTGACAAAGCCTCCACAAGAAAACTTTTATTTTGGATGGAACCTAGATGTGCCAAAGAGAGGACCAAGCTACTTCCTCTGTTGCCTCATTGGAGTGTCCTCCTGCTGGCTGCATTAGTTCCTCCCCTTGTAGTTTCATTTTCAACAAAAGTTTGTAGACTGACCGTACAGAAAATGCTCCTTTGTCATGTTCTCCCCATGCCCAAAAGTCATAAATGATTCTGGTACACAGCGGTATCTTGAGGATTGTATTGGCATCAAAAGGCAAGAAAACTGTGCGTATCTTCTCTTCCATCCGCGTTGCCGAGCTGGCATCAATTAACTCAGCAACAAGCTCCGGTCTGTCAGCCACTCGGCAGACTAACGGTCTCATGAGTCCAGAGCGGTGTACGTGCGTTGAAACGCCAGCTATGGTCCGGGTTGAATTGCTCCCTTCCCCTCCCGCGACCCCCCATCGGATAACTTCCTCTTCCTCTCTGAGATTGTGCAGCCCGTCTTCCTGCTGGTCGTGTTCTCACGTTATCTGCATATAAGAATTCCCCCCACTCAAAAGCCTTTTCATCATGTACACCATCGCCGCATTCCTCATGCCAGTGCCCAAACTCTCCACAGTTGTAGCAGAAAATTGGCAGCTCTTCATACTTTACTTGATACTTAACTCTCTCTTCACCTTTCTTCCCTGACACAAATCTCTTGATCTTTGCATTAACATCAATCTTGACTCTAACTCTCACGTATTCGCCAAAGAATCCTGCCGGCAGCTTGAGCTGCACCTCCTTAACCTCGCCAATTCGCGACGCAAGACCCTTTACTGCCGGCTCAATGAGAAAATTGTCAGGTAGGCGATAGATCTGAGCCCACACCTCAATCTTGTCCAGCTTGAACGAATCAGGGTTTTTGAATCCATCATACTCCTCCAAGATCACTGCCTGATCCCTGAACAGCCATGGACCATCCAGCATCGCTTTCTTCCAATCTGCAAGACAACCGCTGCGCCGTAAACAAGTTCTCCTTGATCTTCCTCCAAACTACCGTCTTGGCCCGATTCCAGGCTGCCCTCATATCTCCATACAGTGCGTTAGGGCTAAAAGTTTTTGCTATATGAACCCTCACAATCGCCAGCCACCTCGCCGACTCCATCATATCTGGGAGCTCCTCTTCCCACACAAAATCCTCATCTTCTTCCTCCTGCAAAGTGAGGCGGGCTAATAGTTCCTCCGCCGTCTCCTTCCCCTTCTCCCTCTGAGATCCCCCACCATCCGCCATGGCTACTCGCCGATCTGCCGGAGATTCAGTGCCGCCTTCGAGCAGCGCCGTCCCCCGCCCTGACAGGAGGCACCCTCAGCACAAAGACTCGATCGCAGCCGACTTCAGCAGCCGGAGATAGGATTCCGGTGAAAATTGCCGGAAGACGTCGAAACCCTAGTTCTCGCCTAGGGGAAAAGCAGAGAGCGTGTGCACCGTCATGCGCAATAGTCGAAGACCCCGTTTGTGAGTGCCACCAGCTGCATGATGCGTCACAATACATGATGGGTGTGGCCCATGGGGTCCATATGGGCTTTGACTTGGATGCTCTAATCCAACCAGCTGTTGGGCTAGACTCTCTTGCCAGTCATTTTTTTTACAAAAAAAGATAAGATAGATATGGTGATTAAGTTCATGCCTCTGATAAAGCCCTGTCCCAGATGATTTTAATGGTTTTTTTATGAATAAGTGTAGACAAATAATCTGTGAGGACTTCTATAAGCTAGCACATGCTTTTCACTCTGCTAATTTGGCAAACATTAATTCATATTTTACCAATCGGGAACCTAAAAAACCTGTCCGCCCTGAATATGTAAATGATTTTAGGCCTATATCTCTTACCAGTGTTGGTCTTATTTTTTTACTGAACTTTCTGAAACAGACTTTGGGTTGAGATCTTAAGATGTATCCATAAAAACCAATATAACTTTTCTTAGATCAAGGGCTATCCAAGACTGCATTGGCTAGACTTTGGAATATATCCATCAATGTCATGCTTGTAAACAACCAATTGTAATTCTTAAGCTTGATTTTCAGAAAGCTTTTGATTCTATTGAACATGAAATTGTTTTGGAGATAACGAGATGCAAAGGTTTCAATCGAAAATGTATTAGCTGGGTTAAGGAATTATTATCTTCAGGTGCATCTTCTATGTCACTGAATGGGGTCCTTGTGAGGCAATTTATTTGCAAAAAAGGAGTTAGGCAAGGGGACCCCCTGCCATGACACACATTTCCCCATTGTGCAGTATGTTGATGATAGTTGATTGAGAGAGGTGACAAAAGGACTAGATGTAGAAGCCATACTTATACGTATTTAATTCTTATTATGGCAAATTCCCACATACTATTGATGGAACACCAATGGGCCGGGAGAAGTGGAAGGGTGGAATTGAAATTATTCTTATTTTATTGCAGGTAAAACTTATGATCTACTCCTTTATCAATAGTCATGCTAGTATAAAGAACATCAAAAATAACAAAAAAAATATCCAGGTACGTAGATCTTCAAATTATTATTGACCATAGTGTCCTTAGTCTTTTGTCGTCACATACCATGGTCCTTACTACCAACAACTGTGTGGATAGATTTCTACCAAAACCCACTAACATTTGCTAAAGATGTACATATCGGCCGCGCCCGCCAGTGCGGCGACGACGGCAACCTCCTCGGCCGCGCCCATGCCGGCGCGCTCGCCGCCTCCTTTTCCCTTGCCGGCGCGCTCATCCTCTCCTACGCCGCGATTGCCGACCTAACCTCCTCCCGCCTCCTCCTCCTTCACCGCCCCCTCCGTCTTCCTCTGGAAGACTGGAACTCACCCTCCCGCGCATTCTCCGCGGCCTCCCTCCCATCCTAAGCTCCGCGCGCTTACAACCCCATGCTCCGCTCTGCCGTGAGCCAGGACGATCCCACCTTCCCCACGCCGTCCTCCACGCCGCCGCTGAGCCGCACGCAGCCAAGGGTCTCAAGCAGTCAAGCTCCATGCGGCCGGGCTCTGAAGCGGCCACCTCACGGACGTGGTCGCGGGCAACACGCTGCGTCTCTATCTATGCGGCCACCTCACGGACGTGACGCGCGCGGGGTGTTTGATGAAATGCCCGTTCCGGATGCTGTCTCGTGGAACTCCCTGCTAGTCTCGGCGTTCTTGGCCAACACAACAGGATGCTAGATGATGCTTGGCACTTGGCAGGCATTGCTTAGTACTCCCTGTGAATGTGGCAAGCTTGGTCTCTGTGATCGAGAGCGGGCAGCGGGGTTCCTCTGAATGTGGCAAGCTTGGTCTCTGTATGGAGAGCGGGCAGCGGGGTTATGCCTGCTTCTGCCAGCCTTATAGCTGTGTACAGAGTGGCTACAAGCTTTTCTTGTCGGGGATCGGATGGTTAGCTGATGGTGCACTTATATGATGGTATGTAATCTTCCACTAGGAATGGATTCTACTCCATATAGCAACATAATATTACAAGTTCACCCAACATGATAATTATTACCACTCTAATAGCAAAGGAATACGATGAGGAGTGCAATTGCTTTTAGAAGACTGTAGGAGTGGATGTTTGCACTGGCAAGAATCACATTAAGATGAGTAAATTTTTATTGTCGCCTACACATCTTCGCTTATGGAGTCTGGCCTAGCAATGAAAGACAAGGTAAGCATTCTCAGACAACCTATCTCTCTACATAAATAACTTTGAGCAGTTCTGAAGTTCTGTTCAACTGTCTCTGTCCATACAGTCATTGCATAGTCGATGTATTCCCTGCATAGTAAAGTACATTTTGCTAGCTCCTCAACTTTGAATAGAAATGCGCCGGGGATAAGCAAGAAGATAATGCTGATGTGCTAACAGAACAATTTTGTAATCTGTAAATATATCATGTTCAGAGATGATAGTACACATGAGGTAGAGGCTGAGATGTTAATTTTTATATGGGGAACCTTTAGATAGAAAATAAGCTATGTATCAGTAAACTGTTTCAAATATCCACACCCCAAATCTGTTGAATCCTTATTAGCCGGCTCGATTCATCCAATGAGCTCATGTCCTAGTAGGTTGAAACCTCTATGACAGAATTCTCGGTTTGACTACTTGGTACAGAAGTTGGCAATTGGTACATCAACTGTGAACCACCGTTTGTTTAAATCACAGCTAACTGAGGTAGTCAGCTTGTTTTATGTAAGTCAAAGGATCAGTTAACAAGAGCACACACATATGTATGTCCTTGTCAAATCAGTTGTTTAATGTGAAGATTGCATATCGTTTATCTATACCACCAAACAAACTAGCAGTTGTGTACTCCCCTGAATTTGACAACATAAAGAAAAAGCAACCAGGATCATATAATCAGAGTTTATAGTAGGATGTAATAGCTATAGTTTCTGCACTCACAATAAGCTGATGAAGATTATTTCACCGGCAAGCCTACCCCACCATATTACGGTACTCTTCATAAAGAGATGTCTTCTAAAGACCCAAGCTACCGCTATACTATGTTAAGTTATACCTCAAATATCATAGGTTCTCCTGTCCCGCAACTGCACCTCTAGCGCCCCGACTTGTTTCTTAAGATGATCAATTATTGTTTCCAACTCAACTTTTCTGCTTCTCGAGCTTCAGACGCCTCTCTAATCATTTCCGCTGTTCCGACTTCCCGTCCTGGTTGGAAAATTACTTGACCTGCATTTGTGGCTCTTGAATCTCTGACCTGAGCTCCTTCACCCGCTTGAATGGTCTAAGATAGTAGAGTGTTTTAGTAGAAATTACTCTCTTGACCAGTTCATTATTTCCATATACTAGACCATTATAAGATGCATCATTGTTTCCTAGAAAAAGGAAGAGGAAAAGTATGCATTAACCTTTATACAGTCTTTAAGCGACTCCTTTTGTAGATATGAGGATGAGATGTTTTCATGTGATATTTCATTACCTTCGAGAAGAGTTGAGTTTTCTCTGTCCACCTTCGCTCTCTGATCTCCCTCTTCCATTACATTGCGTGTCTGCATTTCATCAATGTATCCATCTAAGACATCAACATTAGTGACATGAGTTACATTAACTGGTCCTTGTCTGAGAGTGATATCACTATTGTTTTGGACCATGATATCCTTTGACTCATCTCTTCTTATGGTGACCAGATGTCGTTCTTCATTTGGCTGGTCTGAGTTGGAGGTTGCCATCGTCAACTTGGACAAGTCCATATAAATTGCACTCGCCTCGCTATCCTTTCTGAATATTTCATCCAACTCATTACCACTGATGGCCAAGATGTCTGGAAGATTTGAACATACGTCCACTCCAATTGCAGCTCTAATGCCTTTGTTGCTTCTAGCGCTCGCTGCACCCTCGACTTCCCCATGCTCTGAACTGAGATTCTTCTCATCATACGGGATAACCGAGCTTGGTGCTTGCTCTTCAAAATTCTCATTCTTGGAGACCGGCCCACACGATGGTTTATCAACTTCACTCACCAAAACTGCCTCTGCATCAGACGAAGCTTTCACAGCAACTCTGCGTGAAATTGCCCTACGTCTGCCTTTTCCTGCCCATCTTGGCACCAAATCCTTCACGGTTTCTGAATTTTGCTTTGTCTTGTCATCTTTCAAAATGTGTCTCTGTATCCTGCCTTTGTGCCTTTCGAATGACACTATTCGGAGTTTCGGACTCTCCGCCAACGGAATCTTGTCCTCTGTATCATCTTGCAGAGTCATCCCAGCCTCCAAGTGACGCTTTTTGCCACAATCTACACCACTGAGACCTTCAGCTTTCATCTTTCTTGGACTAACTACAACATTAAGTTGTTTCATGTTTGCAGCATTAGCAACAGCAACAGCACATGCCGACGAGTAAGGCTTCCACCATTGTGCGTATTGAACTGTCATGCCCGGATCGTGTTGCGGAGCAAAGAACGACATGTTTTCAGGCTGCATCTTGTATGTTGCCCACGCCATCTTTCGACTTGAGTTGGCATGGGCAACAGTCCCAGGTACGTCCTGATCGAAGCCGAGCTGCCTTGCGACGCGGTGCGGACAGTACTGCTCGACGCATTGCATGCCGACAAGTTCGCAAGGTCGGAGGCATTGCGCAAAGGATTGCAATCCCTTGCTTGTTGCTACTTCATGGCAGTGCACCCAGCAGCCACTTCTGCCTTGTGGCAGAGCAAAGCTACTGCCTCCGTAAGGTCTCCATTTGAACTCCTCCGGGGACATGAATACAGCGTGGATGTAGCCAGGATCAAGCGGGTTTCTGATGTTGTGCCACTTGGTAGCCCTCGGCATGCTGGGATCACCACCGTGGGAGTTGATCGCAGGGCGAAGCTCCGGGAAGCGCTCCCAGACCCATAGCTGGAGGATGTGTAGTGGCGCACCTGCCACGAATGGCTGATGGCTCTTGCTCAAGTTTAAGTAGTGCTTGAGGGCGGAGAGGTCGTTGTAAATGTTGGCAAGAACGGCTGGCGCGAGGGCCGAGCACCTGCCGCGCGCCAGTCCGGCGGCGAGGGGGAACATGTCCGGTCTGACAACGTCGAATGGCGGCACCGGGAGCACGTATTTGCTCAACCACATGGCCAGAAACGCCCCGTGCTCGAGCAATGTGGCCGCCTCAGTCTCTCCTCTGCCGTCGCCAGCGACCTCCCCCGTCGGCCGCTCGACGAATTGCTTAACCCACGGGGCAAACGCGGCTTTTCTGTTCGTGCATCTGCTCAGCGCGATTCGGACGGCTTCCAGCGCGTCCACGTCCCCGCGGAGCTCGTCCGGCAGCCGCGACCACACCGGCCTGCCCAGCAGGGGCAGGCCCCCGAGCACGGCCATGTCCTCCAACGTCACCGTGGCCTCGCCCCACGGGAAGAGGAACGTGTTGGTCTCGCCGGACCAGAAACCCGCAAGCTGGAGCAGCAGGCCCTCGTGCCGCCGCACCCAGCCGGTGGTCGCGAGGACAGCGGCGAAGATCCCAAGCTTCCGCCAGAGGCGCTCATGCCGCGGCCGAAGCCTGGCCACCCACCGCCTCCACAGCTTCGAGGAGCCGGGCCAGGCCGTCCAATCGACAGGGAGCTGGTCGCCAAGAACAGGGCCGGCATTGCGGGGCGGGGATGGCAGAGCAGGGAGGCGAGCGCCCCCCGCGCGGGGGAGGAGGAAGTGGGCCGATCGGGCCGTGGGGCGGGAGGGATCGGCGCCGGAGATGATCGCGGTGGTGGCTTCCTGGACCAGGAGGTCACGGAGCTCGTCGTCGCTGGACATTGCGGTGGGGCTCTGGGTCGGAGCTGAGCAAGGTAGAGTGTGAGTAAGTAGGCAGTAATAAAATAAAATGAATGCATATCCATGCAATCCCGGGAAGTAAATTAGGCTGTACTCCTACTTTCCTACCCGCCGGAGTAGAGATGTCAGAGATGTTGCCATGCTGATGTAGAGCAAGGTGGGTGGTGCTGGACAAGCCGGAGGCACTCATGTGATGGGCGGCAGACGGCCTCAGGTTTGGCTAACATGTTCTTTTCAAGTGTGTTTTCTTTTGTACGTAGGATTCATGCATGTATGTAGACATGTAGTTGCTTAGCTAGACCAATACCCGTGCATGTGGATCAAAGAAAATAATGTGTTAATAGGTGATTGTTATTTTATTTATGTTGGTGTGCACGCTGGTAACCTCATTCCATGTGTGGTGTGTGCACGTCCACGTGTAACTTATTGAGGGACGATTAATCATCAATGATGTTGATATTTTATTAAGAATGAGTACAATATATAAGCGTGAATGGATCGTAAATCACATTGGTGTTTAACATTTATACTAATATAGCCTTTGATCTTGCATATTATGAAGCAGTGCGAGCTCTATAAAATTAGTGTGCAAATTTTCAATTTGGACTAGTCTGGTTTTTCTGTGAGCTTACTATTTATGATTTTTCTACCAAGGTAACTTTACACCTCAAAATTGACTATTATATTGTTGCGCTTTTGTTGTTGTGTAGTTGCCATATTTTTTTTAGTTTAGTTAATATGTTTTCCTGTTTTTAGGTGTGTTTGCTTCTATTTTTAATCGGATCTTGTTTTTATTTATGTATATCTATGGATATTGGGTGTGTGTAAATTATTATACATGTGAGTACTATACGATATATGTGTAAAATATACTACAGTGCAAAAAATGCACTATTATCTACTTATTCTTGCATGTTATAAAAAAGTGCAATGTATTGCAAATTGTGTGCAATAACGTTCATTATGTATTTATGTACTTTATTTATTATGGGTAATAAAAATGTCACCAATTCATTCTTCCTAAGAAAACTTCAAAAAAAGCCTTTCTTTTAGTTTTTGTATAGGGGCGGGGGAAGAAGGTTCGAGGAAGATGGCAGTTGGTCCTTTGGATCTTTGTAACATCTCAATTTTCAATTTGGATGTTATACATAGATCATCATATGCATATCATATTTATTCTTGCATTTTGGTTAAGATCCTAGAAATCTTAAGCAACTCAAGGACCCACTGAGAGAGTTGGAGGTTTCACAATATTCATATTTGAATTCTTTTCAAATTTGAAGAAAGGATCAATTTGGTTTTATTATTTATCTCTCCAATTATTTTCGATATTAAAAATAAATGAGCGAAGATAATATGATTTCTTCAAATTCAGAGAAATATTGGAGAAAGAATTTTAAAATCAAATTATGATTTTCTGTTATTTTATTTGCTATTTTATTTGAATTAGAAAAATATGCATTTTTCAAAATTGCATTTTTAGGCCAGAAAAATGTTCACTTTGTTCTAAATATTCTATTTAGATGGTGAAAATTTGTTTTGGCATTTTAAGATTTTTTTTATATTTTATTAGGATTTTTCTTCGACGAAATATATTAAAAAAAAGAGCCGTGTCGCCCGACAGGGCCAACGGCCCAGTCGAGTGGGCCAAGCCAGCGCGCCGCCGCCTCCCGCTCCGGCTCGGGACCGGAGTCCCGAGCATCGCCCCGCCACCCCGAGTTCGGGAGGGACACGCCTCCCGAGGCCCTCCCCAAGCCAAGCCTCCGCCCCCTCCCAATAAATAGCGCCGCCGCCGCCCCCTCTCTGGCCGCTCGTTGCGCTGTCGTTGTCGCCTCGCCGCCGCCGCCACCCGCACCACCCGCACCACCCGCCGCCGCCCAAGCCGCCGCACCGCCGGTCGCAGCCGCCGGAGCCGCCGCCCCGCCCGCCGTCGCAGCCGTCGACTCGTCGCCGTCATTTTTTTTCCGGTTTAGGTATAAAAACCGTTCGTTTTTTTATAAACCCTAGTTCATTCTTTTACTTAATCGATTTTTCTCGGTTTAGGCTAATCTGCGAACGTTAGTTCGTTTAAACAAACGGATTCGTTCGTTAGCCTTTGTTAGTGGACGTTCGCGCCGTAGTTTTTTCTTTTTATTTTATTTTCGGCCAGGGACTTATATGCGATTATTTTTGTCGCGATTCAACCTCTGATCTTTAAACTAGTATAACTGTTTACTCATTTATCCAAATTAGATGAAACCAGCGCTAGAATCTTCGTCTCGAAGCCCTCTTTTCAGTTAATCAACTTGAACATGATTTTGATACTGTAAAATTTGACTTTAGTTCAGATTAGTAAACGATCTTGTTTCGTTCGTATTTTGAGTTTCGTTGCTTCGTTTGAGTGGATTCTTTTTGCAAATCGTAGTTAATCACATGTACCGACTGTTAAGATCTAATTCACATGTTAATATTGTTGTTAGGTTTCGACTCTTGTTAGTTTAAGCCGTTTGGTTGTTTCTTATTTAATTTCAATTTTTCTCAAGTTTTCTCGTGTTTTGTTTGAGTGATTGCTTATGTATACTATTGCTTGTCTACGCTAGATTCCCGGAGTGCAAAGCTTGTTATCACGAATCTCTAGAGTTTGCAGATAGTCAGCAAGGCAAGTTACACTTTAATCATACTCTTTTATACCTAGTTTTTACTATGCATTAGTTCTGCCCCATAAATCATTGCATTGGTAGGATTGGGAACATGTGGTTTTTGGTTGTAGTGCTTGAGGTAGGAACCTAATACTTATTTATCACCCCGGGAATATACGTTATGCTTATTTTTTGCTTAGCCATGCTCGTAGACGGGGTTTGGATCGTGATCCACACATGGAAGTTTGAGTGTTATTTTAATTAAGATTTACATTAAGGTGGCAACTTAAATATACCTCTGGGTGGATTGAGGCACATGGGGAATCCAGTGTTGTCTGTTTTTTTGGAAATCCTGAGTTTACCGTGTGATTATCCTATGGACCGCCACCCAGGCTCAAAGGGATCATAAGATTATTCATGCTAGAAACTTTCGTGTACAACCACATGCCATTATGGGCTCTGGCATAGTTTGGTAAGTCGTGTGGTCTCTTACAGTGGTAGACTAGCAGATGTAGGGGATGTAGGTAGTACTGTCTACCCATCGTAAGGTGCTAACGCTTCTGAAAGACTGTGTCTCGATCATCCGTTTCTCAAACATCATGTAGTGTGAGAAATTCAACGGAGGAGATCGAGTCTTGTGGGGAAAAGTGTGCAAACCTCTGCAGAGTGTATAAACTAATCATGGTTAGCCGTGTCCCCGGTTATGGACATCTTGAGTATGTGGTACTTGAATCTATTGATGTGATCTCGACACGTTACTCTAATTAATTATGATGTTGGGTTAATGATGATATTTTTAATTGGGATTTGAGTTGGGGTTACCTTCTCAAATGATGGGCAACATGGGAGTAGTTAATAAAATTTATTCCTTTGTTATAGGGAAAAACTAGCTTTATGCAAAATCATGAAACTTACAGCCTCCACCAGCCAAATATTGCATGTAGATATAGTTCTTGCATTGTCATTGTTTTACAGTGTAACTATGCCAGCATACTCCATGTGCTGACCCGTTTCAGGTTGCAACATCTTATGTTGCAGGCTACTCAGACGACGAATAAGGTGCGATAGGTCGTTGTTTTGCACTCAGCTATGCCGTTGGAGTTGATGGACTCATTTACCTTCGAAGCCTTCCGCTGTTATCTAGTTTAGATGGCCTTCAGCCATGATTTATTTATATAATCATACTCTTTATGAGGACTCGATGTAATAAGTGTGTGATTGAAACTCTGTTATAAATCCTCGAGTACTGTGTGTGTCAGCATTACTGATCCAGGGATGACACTAATGCACAGAGACTTGACTGTTTGAGGTCTGGTCGCTACAATCTTGGTCAGGCGATGGTTAGCGATTTGACTGAACCGAAACAAATCCAGGCTCTTGTTTAATAGTTGTCCCCTTATCATTAGCTTTTTCGATTGTGCTAATGTTTCAAATACTTTACTTTTTGTTGTTGATTATTTTTTTTGGCCATGGCAGTTTCTTTTATTTCTATGCGTGTGATGACAGTTTGATATTGCACTTGTGTGGCACTGCTTAATTTTGCTATCTGAAAGTTATATTAATCTATTGGCTCACAAAAAAGTGTTTATTCTTGTCCCTTGTGATAATGTTTCTAGCTCATGTATTGTTATTCTAGCTTAGTCAAGAAAATATTATTTTATTATGTCTTTGCTTATTGATGCTTAGTCGGCTTATCTTTTGGCAATTGGATTTCACTTCTATGTGTGCATGTGACGGGGGTATTTGATGTTGGACCATGTGACACTACTTAATTTTGTGTTAGGAATTAAAACATAATTCAATTTTGGACGGTTCTACTCGAATCATAATTAGAATCAACACTACGGTATTATATTCTTGCTCTTGCATTTGTGGAACAGTGCAAGTTTTATGAAATCTGTTGCAAATTTTAGTCATCATTTGCTTCATTTTTCCTTGGGTTTCTTTCTTCTTTTAGGGTAATATCAGTACTCTTAATTGATTGTACCTTAGAATATTATATACTTTCACTATGTCTTCTCTTATTGATGCTTAGTATATTTCTGTTGTTGTTGAGTTTTCTCCTATATTTCCGCATGCGACAAAAAATTATGTTTGTTCATTTATTGTTGTGGTAATACCACTTCTAGAATTCTTTTCCTCGTAGAGTGGTTTTTTCTCATCTTTGTTTTTTGCGCTTCCTTTTTTAGAGTAACCTCATGATTCGATCTTCCTTAGATTGGAATATGTTCTTTCTTTTCGCCTTTTGTTCATCTCATGGTGGATTTTTTAAATTCTTCCTTTCCAATTCTAGATTGTTCAGTTCACTAAACTATTTTAAATGGACATATCTTTTTTTTAGGGTTATATATCTTTTCTTTGTGG